GAGGTTAGAGTGCAGTACTGCAGGCCACTTCTGCTGACTACCGGCTGCTAGCAGTTCGGCAGTTCAAATCCCACCAGGCTCAAGGTTTACTCAGCCTTCCATCCTTCCTAGGTGGTAAAATGAGCACCCAGACTGTTGGGGTCAATATGCTGTCTCTGCAAAACTGCTTAGAGAGGGCTGTAAAGCACTATAAAGTGGTATATAAGTCTAAGTGCTATTGCTATATCAGGCAAAGGAAAACATTATACTTTTTCTCTTCAGTAATTCAGCATAATTCTGTTGTATATAAGATCTGAATCAAATATATTTGCAAAATTCACAGAAATGTGCTCTACCTTTTCAAAAGTCCAATGTTTAGATCCTCTTATCAAACCAGCTATAATTTCAGCCACACAGCGTTGAGGACTTTCATGGGAATCTTCAGCAAGACGTTCTAAGTGTGGTTTCAATACAGGTAAGAAGGTATCATCAAAATTTCTAAACAGACCCTAGGGAAATAACACACAAATTTGACTTTAAGCCTTAATGCTTCTTATTACATTTACACAAAGGAATAAACCTAATTTAACTGTTCTAAAATGATAAATATGTTTTAAAATGTTGAATATCAACAATATCTAGAGAGGAAGGAATTTTTTCAAGTCACAAGTGTTCTGCATATATTTGATGCCTTTTTAATACAATTTATCATAATTGGGTTACCATTTTCAAAATTAAATGATATACAAGCTATTATTAAGCAAAAGCACTAAAGAGCTTTAGAAAAAAGGGAGTACATTTTGCTATTGTCCCTAAATTATAATCTGTAAACCACATTTCTACAATTCCACATAAGTCTGAAAATTTGATTATTAAGCTGTGAGGAAAATTATAAAGCAATGAAACACTATCAGAAAACCTTACTGCCTTAACACAAGTTAAACAAAGTGTAATGCAAATGAACAAATGAGTGCTTGCATGTTATATGTAAGAAGGTAGTTTTTATGTTAGTTTTACAACACCATTCTAAATGGCTCTCTTGTTATGAAAGTCTTACAGAAGGTTGAATCCATCACTGAATATGATGGATTGGTTTCAATAACATGGCAGTTCATCACACTTTCTTATTATCTTCTCTTATCTGCCTTTAAACTATATTTCTCCAATCCTGACAGAATGGAAAACTCTGCCTGTATACAAGCCAGAAAGAACAGTGTGTAAAGAAGGGCACTTGAGGCAGAACTTTTTCATAAATTATGATAGATAAAATTTTGATAAACTCCAGAATCAGAACAATATTTGTGGAAGAACAATCACAAAGGCTTTTAACCGCATGGATTTTTTGTTAAACAGCTTTATACATGGCTCAACATATTTCCTAAAAAAGAAGCAAAATATTAGACAATCATTTACCTTAAAGAGACAAAACCTTCGTGGATTAAATTTATCTTTTCCTTTTCTGTCTTCTAAAGAAAGAAACTTGATTAACTGCTCAACAAAATTAGGATCAGAAAAGTGATCATAAATGACTTGCTCTGCCTGCAAAATAAAATGAACAATAATATAAACAGAATTAGAAATTGCTTACCATATCTATGTTGGAAAAATATATATGGACCCCATAATTAGATACATTAATCTTTAGATCAGAAAACCTGAAAAAATGTATAACTGATACATTCTTGCAAGAACAAACTGTTCTTTTGTCAACCCTAGAACTCCTCATGCTATCGTTTTCTATGGTGGTGATGATGATGATGTCATCCACTCAGATTCCTAGGAGATTTTATCAACCAGGTCTCTCCACATCCTCTGATCTTCAACTACTTGAGTTTTTTTTATGCTATGGCTGGTGTCAGCTTTGATGATGTCCAGTCACTGTGTTCTTTGGAGGGCTGGTTTCTTTTTATCACTAACTCTTCCAAATATAATTGCTTTCTCCAGTGACTTCCTCCACAAGACATGGCCAAAATAACTGGCCATAACATACAGATTTGCAATTGTGAATATGATCTCATTTTCTATAGAAAACTAAAATTGAATATTTTTATACTTCATCTTCCTACTCCCAATTTAAAGAATTTTTGACCTGAGAAGGGACTTATTAATGTGCTACAGAAATCAGTGTGACACTATGATAAATTGAAACACTGCCTGCCCGTCCCCCCCAAAAAATCTTCTGGAAAGAATCCAATCAAAAACTTCCATATATAAATGGTAACAAGAACAATATCCAGCTTAGGAATTCAGGTAATTGGAAATCATATTTAAAAGAAATCACTGCTATGGTAAATGGTTTAGCATCATACCAGTGCTTAATATATTTAACTCTCTCTTTTAAAAAATCAAAAGTAATTTCATTTTTCCTAATGTAGATACCTGACACATGTATGCAAAACCACATGATTTCTCCAAACACTGTTACTTTTTAACTGCCTGTTCATTGTGTGAACAGATTTCAGGCAAACAGAAAATATCCAATTTCCAATTTATTGGCATTTGTAAGCCGCCCACTCCCAGTATCACTATATATGAGGCACAAAGGTGTAAAGAGTCAGAAGATACATCTATGATGACTCACATAAGAATATCTTCATACTGCATTTTGATATAAGCACTACAATCCAAACACATAATTGATTCTATTAATGTATTATTATGTGCATTTGAATTTCAGTACTCTGCAGTTCAGATAACTTTGAATAATTTAAGTCATTCTAAGGTTAATCATTGTTATAAAACGAAGAGGGGGGGGGAAGTATATGCTGAAAGTGAAATATCAGACCAAGAGAAATTGTGAGCACATTTTAAAAATATAACGTCACCTCTGAAAGTTCCTTTCTACTCCTCCCAAGTTTTGGTTGCTCTTCTGCAGAAGCATAGATTTCCATATTTCTAGAAATCGTAAGGGAAAAAATGAGACAATTTAAAACAAGATTGAAAGGCAAAATAAAAAAATACAACTTCCTGGTTCACTGTTTCCAAGTCACAATTTAGCAAGCACAAATTCAGAGTCACATCTTTCTAACCTTTATATTATCAAATGTAGAAAGTGTAAAGGATTTAATATGTGGAAGAAATAAATGACTGCTCTAGCAAATCAAGCATAAGCAGGACAAGGTTTGCATCAGTAAGGCAACTTGAGTGAAAGCTGTGAAGTGACTCTACTGACTTTCACACTATAGTAGAGGGCAAGAGGACAGAAGCCAATACTTACTGAGGCCAAGTGTAGTATCCCCAATGTGTTTTTTCCACAAAATGGCAGGCCTCCCAACTTTGTTTAGTCTTTGGTAAACTAGCACTCTCATAATGCAGCCATTGGTTATCGGATCTGTCACCTGCCTGGATATTAGAAGGCTGTGGGGATCCACCTATTTGTGAAAGACAAAAATGCCTTTTTTCTTAAATTTATCAGTAAGTACTTGATATTCCTATTTTCATTCAGGACATATTGCTGTCCACAATTACTACCAGCTGTCACTAATTCACACAATTCTGAACAATTTATATTTTTAAACAATCAAAATCATGAAGCATCTGTTTCAAATAGCAACATAACTAGTATAATCTCACTAGGAACCAAAATATGTTAACTAATACTCTTAAAACTAAAACAAGTACCACAATAAAACACCCATTAAAATGGTCATTTTTCTACAAATTAGTTGCTATAAGATAGATTGTTCATCCCTCCTTGGTATAAGATAAACGCTTAGAAAGCTGGGGAAGCTGATATTTGGCAGGTAATTGATAGGAAAAATTGTAACAGCCATTTCTGTACTCAAGGATAACAATCAAGAATGATTTCAATCATAAAAAGTTCTTAATTCTTATTTACATCATTTTTCTAGAACTAAAATTATGAAAATATGTTATCAGTTTAGAAAACAGACTGCAGGATCCTGAAAGTCAGTTAGCTGACAAGTAGTGGATTAACCCTTTAACAACTTTTTACAAACATCTGAATTGAAGATTCACACATAAAGGCTAAGGACTTTAATAAGACTTTGAGGAACAGGAGACTACATAAACAACTTAGAAACAAACTCATAGCTTGCAAATTTAAGTAAATCAAATCATAGGACTGACTATTTAATATCTCCAATAGAAGAGATATCTGTAGCTGTGGATAGAATTGTGGAGTCCTTGGTGCTCTCAGAGCTTGGCTTCTTGCTTGTAGATGTTTCATTGGCCAAGTAAGTAACATCATCCGTGCAAGTAAGTGTGGGGTTTGTTTCCTGTTTATGTAAAGTGCCCTGCAATGTTAGTGGGGATGTGGTTTTCTCCTTGGTAGTTCTTTGATTAGTCTTTTGTTTTCTGCTTATTTGTCTGGTGCTAACCCTATTTATCTGGGTGTTGGCTGCTGGAGACGATGTAATCTGGTCTTTTTGTTTCCTTTTTAGCTTTTTTATTGTCTCTTTTGAATTTTATGTAGATGTAGTTTATCTCTATTATAGCAGAGCTGTTTGAATGTCAAGTATCCAGGAATTCTATAGTTTTTGGATTCGGCTTAATCTAAGATGCTCAGTTATCCAGTTGAAATTGTGGTTAAGTCTGTCTGTGTGTTGTAAGCAAGTAGTTCTCATCACGTCTTCTAACTGCTAGCTGGGTTCATGGACATCTTGCTAATTTTCTGCCTATCTGTCCTACATAGTGGCTGTTATACTCCTTACATTATAGCTGCAGATTATATCTGTTTTTTTCTTCTTGAAAGAGGAGTTGATTGATTTGTGTACTATGATGGTACAATGTGGATGTAAATCTGTTGGCTGTTTCTGATTTGGAACTGGATACACTGAAAACATCTTAGAAACAACCAACATATTATATTACAGCCATAGGCATCACAGTGGCAGATGAATACCAATCCCAAAATACTATGGAACTCCTGAAACTTGGCATTCAGACAAATCAGCTATCAATAGGCACATAGAGATAAACCATAAAATGTCTGAAAGCAAACAAACTCAGAGAGTACCAACAATTCCACTATTTCTCTCTCCAATCAACAGAATACTTCCAAGATGCAGCACTTCAATATTTTAACGCCAATGGAAAAAATAATGTTATTAACTATGAAAATCAACTAAATTTGAAGTAGATATGGTGGTCAGTTAAAAAAGAAATAACATAATTGAAACATTTAGCAGAAGAAATTGATGGCAGATACCAAAACTGCAAGTTAACAGATGTTTAGCTCATATTTCCCTTAATATTAACTAACTTAAATTATCCTTATTGAAAGATAGTTGTTTTTCTTTAGTGCACTTACTGATTTGGAAAGGACAGATGAGCATCTTTTTGTGGGGCCTTTTCAGCTGCTTAAGGATACCAGCCACAGCAGAGATTGCCATCTACATGGAAAAATGAGTTAGTTCATTTAAATTTAAAACAAATGAAAGGAGATCCTGTTAAGATGGCACAATTTTATCACAACTTTCCTCCTACATATAAAAACATTATATGTAAGGTTCAACTATGTATTGAAATAGTCAGCATATAAATGTTTTAATATATTTTTTAAAGTTAGAACAACATAAAGATTCGGATTTTCTAATATCTACAGTGTTTATGTATAAGCATTTAGATCTTTACAGTCCTAAAAGTATTCCTAAATATGTGGAATTCAATATGTTAAAAGTTTTTAAAAAGTTGTCTAAAGGTCTTTTAAGGAAGGGTGTTTAACTTGGTGGTAAAGCCATTGCTCATATAGAAAGCTTCAGAATTAAGTAGGTGATAAGAAACAAATCCCTTACTTAAGACTGGACAACTAATGTCTATCAAAGACTGCAAGCTATGTAGACAAATAATATGATTTGTGCTTGCAAAATGGATGGTATTTCATTGAAGAATTTCCCTGTGAGAATTGGCAACCCTGCCAGCCTACACATTTCTGGAAAAGTCTACACATCTCAAGCAAACTCTATTTAAAAAGAAAACGGTACTCTGGAAGCACTTAAACTTATTCATAAGATCAAAAACAAATATTTTGCTATGTGAAGAAAGCACATTTGAATCCACTCTAAGAAATGAATAATGGAGTCAATATCCGCAAACAACTTTTACTATAATTAAACCAGTTAACCTTTTACCTTGCGAACCACCAAGACATCATGATTGAGACATTCCACAAAAAAATGTATGGCTCTTACAGGTAGCACTCTGTCATCCCTTAAAAGTAGGGAGAGGAAACCAATGCCAATGTGCTCAAACTTCCAAGGGCTGGAAGAAAGAAAAAGGGTCCCCAATTATACAAAATAAAATCTGGAAGGCATAATTCTTAAATCTAGTACTGAATTTTCACTGAACTGGGTGGGGAATGGGATATGGTATGATCCTGAAATGGGCAACTCACTGCCTGGGAAGTCCCACAGACACTCAACATTCAGCAACAAAATGACACCATGTTTGCAGCACTATGTTTCTTGTTTTATTTTTGTTCTCAGAAGTGGTCATAAGAAACAGAGGGGTTTCTGAGTCAAATCACTTTCTTCTTCATCTTTAATACTGCTCCATCTCCCCCATCACCAAACCATACTGCAAAAATTCAACCATTTTGCAACAGAATATAAGCAGTATAATACTACTTATTTTTCAGGGCATGGCAGGGGGTTTTAAAGATAAACATGGTTTGTTTCCAAAGTGCTTTTTATTCTTGTTATAGATAAATTATTTCTCCACAAAGCCTTTCAAAGTTGGTCCTGTCCTTTCCAATGATGTCATCTCAACTCCCTGGAAAGCTTCTTGCAGTCAAAGCTGAATGGTGACTACCAATTTCTTAATGGTTGCTAACTCACAGCCCAGAAAAATAAACACATGAATCACATTTTGAGAAAGATATTCTCATACTTACAGATTTCTTTGATTCAAACAATCTAGAAGCTTATTTATCAAATTTTCATAATTTCTAAAAAAGAAAAAGAACATTTATGTATTAACATATCTCAGCAAAAGACAATATATCATCTATGGGCCAGTGCACATAGAATGAAAGTCTTTATAGCAATCAGCAGACAGGAGAAACTTGTGTGAAAATGCTATATATGGAGCATTTCAAATGAACATCATTTGTTGAAGAGGTTTATCATCATGTTACATTTTAACATTCATATTAGACAAAAAAGCAATAGCCAGATATTATCTCTGAATCAAAGTTTTAAAAGCCTTATTGTTACAAATGACAGGCTTTGGTTTCCGTATAAAAAATGAAATTGTTAAAGAGTCTGCACTTACTGAGAGGACTCGGCATTCCTTTCTTTCTGTCGCTGAATTCCCAGCTCAATTTCTTCTGAACTAAGGCTGGTACATTCACCGTTTTGACCCACTGACTTCTGCATGAGGACTGCAACTTCAATACATGTCTCTGGGACCTGGAAAAATAAGGAGACATAAGAAAGATTCTGATACAATAAGTGATTATTCCCAGGGAACGATGCAACATTTACAAAATGTACACTGTCACAAAAATTCAAAAGCATCACAAAACAGTATGCAGAATGGTATATCTATTCACTGTTTTTACTTTTAATATTCTACAACACAGATGCAGTTAAAAGTATCAGTACTCTTCCATTTTCCTTCCCCATCCCTATTTGCTGAGTGATTGTTTATGGGGGTGAAGGCACCCATGATAGAATTGAAGCAAAATGTCTTTTTGAGAGAACATCAAAATCCAATAATGTATTTTAACTGTTAAGGGTTACCTATAATTATGCCTATGCCATTTTCATTTGTTCTATTATTTACAAAAAGAAAAACAAATATAAATAAGCAAAGCACTATGAACTATAGAATACAAAATGGTGGGTGCTATTTACTTGTGTTGGTTTCAACTTACTTCCCAGCAAATTGGAATTCTTTGGAAACTAGTATAGGCAATCCATGACCTATGACCACAATGGAGCCTGTCAATTATATTTGTAAGTTGTGATGGTCATAAAGCAGGTCACTTATGCAACTAGCCTGATTTTATTACCTTTTTTGGAGTGGTTGTTAAGCAACCCCATTGTTTGCTCTGAGGTGGCTTTGCCGAAAACTAGAAGAAAATGCTGGAAGAAACATTGTAAATTGTGGTCATATGATAAATGAGATGCTGCAAATGGCCAGTTGCAAAATGTCCCAAATTTAATTACTAATTGTGGGGGGTGGCTGTCGGAACTTTGAAACCAAGTTGTAAGTACCTTTAGGTACTTCCATTGCAACTTCCAACAGTCGCTAAGGGAATGGTCATAAGTTAAGAACTTAGGAGGGGTATCAACACTTTTTGTCATATCTGTATCTGGCTGTGAAAAAGTAATTCAGAAAGGGTACAAGATGGATTGAGGCCAGAGCAGATAATTTATGAAAGCTAACTGCTATTTGTTTTCTTTTAACAATTCTGTAATCCCTTTTGTCAGGGTGGAGTCAGTGTGACTGAATGGAGCTGAACATTTACTGGCCAGATGCCCTTCTTGATGCCTACATGGAGCTCACAGCAGATATTTACCATATTTTTCGGCGTATAAGACACCTTTTTCCCTCACAAAAGAGGCTGAAAATTTCGGTGCATCTTATACACTGAATACAGCATTTTTTGCCTCCTGAAACCCCATCCCTTCACCAAAATGGCCATGCATAGCTTGTAGGAGCTTTCAGAGAGCTCCTGGGGGCTGGGGAGGGCAGAAATGAGCAAAAATGGGCTGTTTTTTGCTCGTTTTTGCCTCCCCCACACACACCACTCTACAAGCCTCCTAAGGGCAATTCATGCCCTTTAAAAAAAACAGGGCCGTTTTTTGTGAAAAACGGGCCGTTTTTGGGAGGTTTACAGAGTGCAAAAACTTTTTTTTTTATTTGCCTCTTCAAAACTTTGGTGTGTCTTATACTCGGAAAAATGCGGTACTCTTTGCTCCCAGACAGACAAAAATCTGCCACTACCTAGGATTGAACTCACAGCCTACTGACTGTGAGGCAAGTGCTCCCCCTCTAGGCCACCACGGAGCTCGATCAAAGATAACTATTATTATCTTTAATAACAGATAGTATGGATAGTAGTATGGAAATACTACCAAATGTTTTATTTCCAAGTATGTGGAAATTATAGTATCCTAGTTCTTTATTGTACTGAAATGTTTACATTCCAGTTTATAATCAGATTGCCAAGTATAGCAACCCTGCCATTAATCCAAACTCACTGGCATCTACTTCCCCACTTTCCTGTACAAGGCATATAGATTTAAGTCTAGATCCCCAAGTATCATCAAAATTTAGGCAATATATTTATATCTATCTATGCCAGAGCACACCAAACCCACCAAATGAAACTGGCTGGACAGATACTAATAGGAGACACATGGACCCTAAGTAACCAGGCCCCATTCCTAAACAATTGTAAGTAATGTAAATATTTAATGCTTACAGTAAAATCCAGTCCTATTGTTTCATACTGCCGATGGATTTTCTCTGCAAGGTCATCAAAGAGTCTAACTATGGATGGCTTCTCCAGAGACATTGCTTTGCTAAGTCCAGAAGACACAATTGCAGGCCAAGTTTGGACAATGCAGTCCCAATCATGAAGATTTGCCAGACATACTCCACTATGATTTCCAAGAAGGCAATACAAGGCACCCTATGGAAAAGAAATTTTAGACAGAATTATTGACATATAGTTGGAATTCTTCTCCAATTACAGTAGTCTATTATCTCTTTGTTTATAATAAAAATCTGTGAAACATGAAATCAAGTGATTTCTACAGTGATTCTACAGTAGAACCACTGATAGAGTCTACTCAGGATTGGCTACTGATGCCCACAACCTAAAGGTTTCACATACTATATCTTAAAAATCAACCCATCAGAAAACCATTTACCATAATACTATAAACAGAGATTGAAAAATGCTATTGAACATTATTTTAAGCTTTATTGCTTTTTAATAGGACTATATCTTATTCCTAAATAAAAGGATGAAAAGATGGGAAATACTTCTACTTTCACATTTCTCAAACTTAAAGCTTCTAACTAATACAAAAAGTCAGAACACACTATGAAGTAAAAAATAAACATATAAAATCTAAAATTTTCAGTTACTACATTGTTTAGTAATCAAGCATATAATCCTATTGACTTAATACCTAACAACAAAAACAGATCTATTTTATGGTATTTTAGAACAGGAATTTCCAATATTTGTATGTGCCAGAATTTTCATTAGCTCCAGCAACAGTGTCTGCTGCTTCTCTCTCCCAAACAGTATGTTTCTTTTTAACTGCTAAAATCTCACATATTGCCAGTTTTTAAAAGATCACAATAATTTTGTAAGATCTCACAGAATATTATGAAGATAATCATGTGTTTCCAGACATGAAGATCAGATTGTTGATCTGCAGCAGATTGAAGTTTTTCATTTGGTTGTCATTTTATGTATTCTGGTTTATGTATTAGTATTATGATTTAAAATGTTGTTAGTCTGCCAGACTCTATGAATTAAGTTGAATGCCATATCAATCACATTAACAAATAACATGATGATAACTGAAAGCAAAAAGCTTATTTTGCTTCATAAAGCTGTCCAGAGTCAAGGTTTCAATGCAAATATGTCAATAAAAACAAATCACCCAATCATCCATTGTACTAAAAGTGTTATTAAAATTTACACTTTTAAAATCTTTAAAAAACTCATCAGAAGAATTGAGTAGGAAGCAAGTCTTAGATATACTAATCTTAATATTTGTTTTTCATATAAGCATCATCATCCTGCTATTCACATAATATACAACATTTAAAATAATATTTTATCAGCTTATTTACGTTAACGTGTCCTGAATCAGCAGTGGTAACATGCTTCCTGACCAAATAGACAACTGTAGATTTCATTGGAAGGGGAGGACTTTCATTTTTGAAAACTCTTTTCCTCTTGTAAGGTTACTTACTATGAGGTAAGGGTGCTAAGGAGCCTGTAGGAAAAAAATCTCATTTCTATTACACCCAAAGTCTGAAAAGCAATCTGAAATCAGCCCACCAAAATCATGATTGCAAAATGGCTAGATTCCAGCAACATTCTTTCACACGAAGGGGGGGGGGGGGGGGGGGATGGTCATTGCCTGTCCTCCCGATTCCATTTCCATTCTTATTTTGAGAGGCATAAATATTACACCACCAAAAATAAGTCATTTTGGCAATAAATTTTGCAAATTTATTCTGGAATTCTAAGATGGCTAAAATAGTCACTATGGCTGGAGATTACCTCTCCCCCTTCAATGGCACTGACAGAACCTGCTGTAAAGAAAATTAATTAATTCCTTACTTTAAATTGTTGCTGGGTGACACTGTGCCCATCTGGCCTCAAAAATTCCAAAACCAAAGGAATGATGTCTCTGCAACAAAAGTTGTAAGTCCCCAAGGCTGTGAAGAAGGCTTGTTGAGCTTTGTTCCTGACCTAGGGCAAAAGAACCATAGAAATATGTACAAAAGCTAAACAAATAAGCTTTACTTTATATTGTGATTGGTTCTGAACAATCTTATAATCTAAAAAAGGATCTATGCACTATATATAATTTTTATGGCACTGAACAACTTTTATGAAATATGTTAAAAAATTAAGAATCTTATTCTGCATCTGATTTTTAGTATTAGAAGGAATACATTCTGCATGGAATTCTATTTTGAGGCAACTCTAAATTGCAAATCATCTGAACAGACCTTAAGAATGTTATTGGCAGGCTTCTATGAGTAAAAACCCACTACTGATGTGTAAAAAATAAATTTAAAAAAATGTGTGTTGCTGCTACAGCTGGTCCACAATCCGCTTCTCTACCCACATAGTTTTCCTGAACTATTCATTTCAATATAGTCTTATATCCACAGAGATAAGTGGTGCAGTGGTTAGAATGCAGTATTGCAGGCTAACTCTACTCTGCCCACAGCTTAGAGTTCAATCCTGTCAGGGCTCAAGAATGACTTAGTCTTCAATTCTTTGGAGGTCAGTAAAATGAGGACCCAGTTTGTTGGGGGCAATGTTCTGACATTATAAACAGCTCAGAGAGCACTGTAAAGCACTATGGGGCAGTATATAAGTCTAAGTGCGGTTGCTATTGCCATTAACCCCTCTAGGCACCCACCGAGTGGAAGTTAGAAGTAACTGCTATATAGGCTCAAAGTAATTACATGGGCAGGATATCATGAGGCACTATGGCATAACCAAATGCTATTCTGGAAATGTTAACAAGCTCTCAAAATAAAGATATACAAGTAGTAGTCAACGTAAGACCACAATTTGTCCAAAATTTCTGTTGTTGAATGAAACATTTGTTAAATGATTTTTTTCTCATTTTACAACCTATCTTGCTACAAAAGTGAATCTGTTAAGAGAACAACTGCAGTTGTTAAGTTATTAACACAGTTAAGAGTATATGGTTTTCCCATTGCCTTCGCTTGTAAGAAAATCGCAAAAGGTATGACACTTTCACCCTGGGACACTGTAACCATCAAAAATATGAATCAGTTGCCAAGCATCCAAATTTTGATCACGTGACCATGGGGATGCTGCGATGGTCGTAAGTGTGAGAAACAGTATTAAATCACTTTTTTTCAGTGCCACTATAACTTTGAACTGTCACTAAATGAACTGTTGTAAGTCGAGGATTAGCTGTACAAGATTAAAGCTGACACAGAAAGAGTTCTCAGAAATTTCAAATTGCTGTGGAATAGCACTCCATTACTTGCAAATACCTATTTCAAAACTTCTGCCATTAATATTCAGCTTCTATAAAATGAGAGGAGCATATGGCTTACCTGGCCATATGAACTTGTAGATAAACGAAGAAGGTCCCTGATCAAGTTCTGATGTACTTTTTTGTATTCACAGCCTTCAACAGTGAGTGTTCTTAGCTGAAGAAAAAGGAACATTTTTTAAAATTTTATAGATGAAAGTTATAGATACTACAATAGCAATAGCAATAGCAGTAGACTTATATACCGCTTCATAGGCCTTTCAGGCCTCTCTAAGCGGTTTACAGAGAGTCAGCATATTGCCCCCAACAATCTGGGTCCTCATTTTACCCACCTCGGAAGGATGGAAGGCTGAGTCAACCCTGAGCCGGTGAGATTTGAACCGCTGACCTGCTGATCTAGCAGTAGCCTGCAGTGCTGCATTTAACCACTGCGCCACCTTGGCTCTGACCACTACAGATTTCAGAGGCAGCCCACATTCAGTAGTAAAAAAAAAACATATATTTACCTCATGCTGTAACATGACTCTGTCAATGAGCAGTGCTCTAATATGCTGTTTCTTGCCTTGAAGCTGCAAATAGATAAATCAATTATTTATAATGAAAAACTTTATTCAGTCCTACCTGTGATTCTTTTTTTAAAATTTCATTAATTATGAACATTAACTCCCCCTAGATTCCTTAAAGTCTTAATTGTGTAAATAAATTACTTATAGTAAATACTAACCCTATTCTCCATTGATTTCTTCACCAAGTTAAAACTTTTCCACCGTGAATCAAACTCATGCTTATGTGAACCTTGGAAATGTAAGAGGTCCCCAATGATCTGTAGTATAAGAATTTGAGTTATACATAAAAAGCCTTCCATCCAACAATGTTTTAGAAATCACACTAGAAATATCAACTATACCTTAATGACTAGGAACAAAGACTTAGTATCATCCTCCGAGTTGTCAAGTACAAAGTCTATTACAATAAAGAAAAAAATAATGAAACAAATCGATATAAACTAATTGTTCACAGTTACAGCACTCTTGTCATATTGATGGCAAGCTAACAACAATACAATTTCTTTCTGTTTTTAGTAGGAAAAAAAGGATAGTCCTCAATTTCCGCCCACCACATAAAAAGTGTAGTCCCCCAATCCAAAAAATTAAAGAAAGCTCCATCCATTGTCCCACATTCCACCCTGATCCATTAAAAAAAACCTAATTAATCTCAAGATATCACAACCAAACACCTTCATTTACTTAAAATGAAGAAGAAAGTACTTTGCTTCATATCTGATTTATCATCTGGATTTCTATGTCTTTTGAACTATTGTACTAATTCAATAAAGAAAATAAGAACAAATGGAATAATTAAAAGCACACTTACGTAGGAGTTTTCTTGTCACTTTGCAGATTCTTTCCCTGTAATTCTCTTTCGACAAATCTAAACAAGTAAGACCATTCATTATCTATAAAGTTTATAAATTACAATGTGTCATAAGGACATGTCAAAGGGGGCATAGGTTTGAGGATTCTGCACAACATCTTAGTCGTTCTTATCCCTGCATTCCTCTGGACTAAGAGCTCTGCTGTTATTCCTAGGTTCTGTTGCAGTCACTCTCTCATCTTAGGAGTCAAAACTCCAAGTGCTCCTTACCACCACTGGGAATACTTTGGCCTTTATTTTACATACCCCCTCTAATTCCTCCTTCAAGTCCTAGTACTTCTCCAGCTTTTCATTATTGTTCATCCTGATGTTGCAATCACTGAGCACTGCTAGAGCTATCTCTATTGCTGTCCTTGCCTATGACCATGAAGTCTGGTTGATTGGCTAATATCTGCCTGTCTGTCTGGATCAGGAAGTCCCACAGGATTTTAACCTTCTTATTCTCCACAATCTTCTGTGGAATCTTCCATTACGGTCTAGCCCATATATTTTACATAAGTTGCATACACCATGCCAGTTACTTGGTTGTACTGTTCAGTGTTCCTACCTGCCTCTTACATCTTGGGACTACATGTTGTACTTTCTTTGAGGCCTCTCTGCATAGTCTGCTCTTTGAGTTCTGCTTAATATGATAGACTCCTGCTTCTATGGACCTAGTGCTTAGTGCTTATTTTCATGCAGCCACAATCATTGCCACAGTGTTGTCTTTTATGTTAGCCCTTTTCAGTCACTGGTAGTATTTCCCAATGCATGTCACCTCAGTTATCTGTCAGTGCTACATCCCGTGCACAGTACTATCTGGCCATGGCACTTCCTCTGCTTGATCTTTCTCTCATGTTTGCTGCTGCCTCAGGCATTTTCTCAACAGCTCATCTTTGGGTGCCATTTTACTGATGAACCCCTAGATGTGGTGTGTTTTGTCCAGGGCAGGGGCTTTGACACTCACAGGACCCTGTCCAACCTCTCCATATTGTAAGGAGCTTCTTCACATTGACAGCTTTCATGCTTTGGCCAGCTCATACAGTATATATTTTCCATATTTTATCTTTAGCCTTTATTGATGTTATTGTAATGAATGTGATTGTTGATTGTTATTAGCCGCCCACAGTTGTTGAGTCTGGTAGCATGCAATATTAAACTCAACAAAATTATTAAGTTATTATTATCATTTTTTCTTTAAGATTCACAGAAAAAAACATAAATAAGAAAGAAGATAGCTATTTTCTTTCAATAAGAGATCAGTGATGCCATGAATTAAGTAACAGCAAATTTTCTCCACCATTTATGCAATGACATTAACTTACCATATTCAACACCGGTATAAAGTTTGATCTCTTCCAATGACACTAGACTTGGAACCCTGCATGATATACAATACATACATATTCTTTAAACAGAATTCTTGATGCAGTGAATTTAATTTCATAAAACAGCAATTACTGTCACAATTCCTAAAGATTAAGAGTTATAATTTTATGTATTTTAATTTCTATTTTTTTCTACATTTTGAAGGAAAAAGAATTTCAATAATAGTGAAGCTGTATAACTTCTTGATTACCGTTGTACTTAGGATTGCATCTGTATAAGTGCTAACAAGTAACGTTGTGTGGGTTTTAAACCTATAAGCAGGACTGAACTTGATTAGTACTTGGATGGGAGACCATCAGGGAATTGAAAGGTCATTGTAAAGGATTGGAAAGTTTAAAAAATCATCTAATTTATGGTATGTTTTTAATGTACAATATCAGATGAATAATTCTCAACTCATATTTTAAGAATCCTTTCTAAGTGAGGCACAAAACAATCTCTGATTTTTTTATCTAAATGATTCCGTTTATCATCTACATAAAAAGCAAATTTTACTTACATGTGAGCCACTTTTTCTCCTTTCAGAGGTGGCAGCATGTTTCCTGATCCAATAAGGCAATTATGTACTATAGTAAGACACTGCTGAACATCATCTCTGAAAGTAAATGTTAAATAGGTGAAATATTTTTCACTTTACTAAAAAGAACTCAAAAGAACTTTTGAGACCTGACCTCCACAACAACATTAGAAAATCCTATTAAACAGACATGCTGAATTATTTTATCTGAAGGCTCAAATAAAACACTATTTCAAGGGCCAAATCATTAAATAGCCACATAATGCATTTGTCAGCAATTAAGCAATTTATTATTCAACAATCAAATCTATTTGATGGATTGATTCAACAGTCTATATTATATGCTAGCATCCCTGGAAATTCTGAGCATTGTATTTTTTTTTCCTGCTTGAGCAGGGAGTTGGTCCCTTCCAACTTTGTTATTCTGATAAAACTGACATCTATAAATAAGATTAAAAATTACAATACAAAATTTAAAGTACACCTACATAAACAGTGGGAACATTAGAGAAATACTCCAAAGCAATTGGGGGGGGGGGGTTTGTCTGTGACGACAATAATAAATTGTCAACCCCTGGAATAACAAGTTTTAATGGCCTTCCTAAAAAGCAACAGAGTGAGAATAACATAGATTTCCAGGCAAATGCTCTTTAGCCAAAGGGTAGCAATTTAGAGTGTTTATTTCCATGATCCCTGCTGATGACATTAGCTGAGAAAAAGGATATGGAGAGACTATATCTAACTGGAAAGGCAAAAAAACAATTGGGAATAGGCACTCCCATATATACTCAGGTTCTGACCTTATGTTCATTTCTGACCTCATCCAATGGCTTCAGTAAATGTCAAATTCAAGTGGAGAAAAGACTGAGTTTTGTGGTGCCATAAAATGGAGGAACATAAGACACAATAGTACCCCTAAAGCACTATGGTTGTTAAGTAAATCTAGCTTCCTCATTGACTTTGCTTGTCAGAAAGTTGCAAAAGGTGATCACGTTGCTCCTGATACTATTATTATCATAAATGAGTCAGTTGCCAAGTGTCTGGATTTTGATCATGTGACCATGGAGATGTTGCAAGTGTCATGTGAAAAATAAATCACTTTTTTCAATGCCGTTGTAACTTCAAATGGTCACTAAATGAATTGTTGGTAATGTGAGGATTACCTGTAATGTATTTTTTCAGTGTCTATGTTCCATCACATTTCCCTCAAAACTTCCCTCA